CGATTTGAAATCTTGAATTTTCGAAACATCTGTCGTAACGTTTCTTGCTTGCCTGCTCCCCCTAGGATTTTCGAACATCTACATTTTTAACGGATATTTACCTTAAAAAGCTGATGCGTCTCAAAAGTCTCTCGGCTGTTAATAATTAAAACTTCCAATAGTTCGATCTAGTCAGGAAGAAGTAGTCAGTAGTAAATGCTTGATACGCAGAAGTTGCAAACGGCAGACTTATCAGGGGCAACCAAAGTCAATTTTTGGAAAATATCCGTTCGGAAGACGATTTGAGATCTTGAATTTATGAAACATTTGTCGTAAAATTTCTTGCTTGCCTGCTCCCCCTAGGATTTTCGAACATCTACATTTTTAACGGATTTGTACCTTAAAAAGGTCACCTAGAATTTTCGGAAGCCTTTTTTCTGGCTGAAATTTTCGAAAAGGTAACTTTTGATCCCTATAATTTTCGGATCACTAAACTTTCAGCTAGTAAATCCGAACAGATGAAAAATTTTAGGAGATAAAAATATGCCTATATCTACCGTTTAAATACTAAAATACGTTCAAAAATGCTATGTTCAATTGGTTTTGAACTGTATTCTCGTTGGGTGTCCCTGACTTATGCCCTTTGCACGTGCTTTGCGCAGAAGGGTTTTTTCGTGTAAACCAGCCCTAAATGGCTGTTTGAAATTAAAAGTTGTAATCATAGCTCTTTTTTCTTACTTTTAGTTCTTTAAGTCGATTTGTAGTTTTTTTCATTTGTTGTGCAGGTCGTGTAATTCATCAGTATTGCTTAACTAGCCTTCGTATCATGACGTCTGGATGGTACAAGCTTCCGTTAATCATTTAAGTCAAAAGAGTGACCAAAGTCAATTTTTCCCAACAATATAAATACATACAGTAGAACCCCAGTAAGTCGAACTCTCAAGGGAAACGAAAAACAGTACGAGTGAGAATTGATAAAGTGATCACCTGATGAGACAAGCTTTGATCTAAAAACAAATTCTCTTAACCAATTCTTTAAGGAAATGTATGTAGATCAGTCTGGAGATTTAGTTTTTGGATACTGGGGCTTCAAGGGTTAAACGAGATGGAAAAGACGTGCGGAAAGCTAGAAGTTACTTTGTTTATTTGCATCAATACTTGACACTCCTTACCCCTCCCCTGCTAAAAAATTTACCGTCACCTCTCTTTCCCTACCTTGTCTCTTCCCATACACACTTCTCTTTTAAATGGAAGTTTCAATTCTTTGAAGCTATATCATTTTATAATTAAAAATAAATTATATAAATTAGATTTTAATGAAAAAAGTATTAAAATAGTTGTAAGGGAAGCGGGAAGTTAAATGACGTCACAAGTTGTGGCTATTTTTGTCGAACACTCATAGTTAATTGTGCCCTCATAAAGAACGTTTTATCATTATTCAAATCATTGACGTATACCAAGAAGGAGTGTGAAGTTCAGCATCCCAAACAAGAGTTAGAGTGTCTTCTTATTTCGACTATTTCGAGGTGAGAGAGGTGATGTCTGTACCTTTGAAAATTATTTCATCAATTTAAGCTCGTTGCCAAATTGAAGACGTTTGATTATTGCGAGATACCGGCGGCTTACTGGCTTTGAGCCCGGAAGAAAACCTGCAAAAAGCGCGGTAATTGCTGTGATCGCTTCAGCTTTTATTTTCCTAGTACATGAGCTTTTGTCAGGGGTTAAACCCAATTCTTTTGATGGATTTGCTTTCTTAAACTCCCCTTTGGCGCCAATATTTGCATTGGTCAGAATTATGAAAACCTAGAAAATCATTAAAAGCTTTTATGCAAATAAAAATTTCCGACAGCATTATTATTGGGCACTCGGCCGTCATAGACAACAAGCTATTCGAATTTCCCTTAGCCTCCTATTGAAGCTTTCGGCTCGCTGCGAACTAATCTCCCCTAATTTTGTAGTTTATGTTGTCAAAAACTGCAGGAAATCTCTGGATAGAAACCGACAAGTAACTAGCGGATAAACTTTTCTCGACTGTAATGTCAGGGGCACCCAACGAGAATATAGTTCAAAACCAGTTAAACATAGCATTGTTAAACGTATTTTAGTATTTAAACGAGAGATATAGGCTTATTTTTATCCCCTAAAAATTGTTTATCTGTTCGGATTTCCTAGCTGAAAGTCTAGTGATCCGAAAATTATTGGGATCGAAACATACCTTTTCGAAAATTTCAGCCAGAAAAAAGACTCCCGAAAATTCTAGGTGACCCGTTTTAGGGTAAAAATCCGTTACAAATGGGCAATTATACCATTTTTTAGATGTTCGAAAATCCTAGGAGAGGCAGGCAAGCAAGAAATTTTACAACACATGTTTTGTTTATTTTATATCATGTAATTAAATCCTGGGACTATAAGCGCGAACACTAAGCGCGAATGTTTTCTAGTTCACCTTGAGTGACTCTTCTGATGAATTACAAAGTAACGTTTTTCGCCATGCATGCAGAGAGCGTTTAAAGAGGTTGCCATTTGGTTTGCCTCCCAAAAGTAACTGTTGCCGTCCGGTACCAACAGAATTCAACGGTACGCTTAGGCTATTGACTGATTACACTGTTATTGTCGTATTTCTGTGTGTTACTATTTGGATGCTTAAGCAACCCCCATAACGGCAGCAACGAGAACGTCCAAAAATATTTTTGTTCTAAATCCACTGCACGACTACAACGTCGACGTACTAATAAGGAATTTTATGAAGGACGTAAACACACAGAACCCTTCTCTTTTTAAAACCTGTATAAAGCTGGATATGGTCCTTAAAAATTCAACCATTTCGCCTTATATTTGACGATCAAATTGAATGAGGTTTAATAAACGCAATGACGTTTTCAAGAACTAAAACTAAATTTAATTTTAAAGTAAATTTTCACTGCCGTCGTTGTTGTGTTTCCTAATGTATTAAGAAAAGATAAGGAAATCATCAACCTCTATTGAGGGGGGCGATGGGATTTTCGGTTTTGGCCATTTTTTCGGTCGGCTTGTCGGTTTTTGCACTGAAAACTTCGGTTTCTAGGTTTTGTTGTCCGTTGCGGTTTCCAGTTTTTTGGCCAAAAATAAAGCAGGTTAGATTCCTCTGTGGGTCTCTGTGCAGTCAGATGTTAGGCTATTTTATATGTTTCTATTTTACAGTCATTCCAGGTCAAATTGCAATGTGGGATTCTGGATTTCTGATTGAAGTTTACAACTATAGAAGAGCTTTTAGCGAACGCAAAATTTCCCTCAGACTTCCCTGGTTGTTCTCTATTGCTGTTCAATCGATCGAGGATCTTTGTGAATTATCCTAGACTATCCTAGGGCACGTATGCCAGTTTTACGACCACAGTATCCATAGATAGTTCTGATACTGTGATGATATTAAAATCTTGATGATGTGATATTGTTTAGACGGCAAGATTGGAGAACAGCTCCCCAAGTCTACCAACAGATGGCCGACAGAGTTTTGGGGGAATTGTTCTTCAAATTTCCCGTTTGGTCCCTGTGTTCCACCTATCATTAACGTTTGACATCTAGAGTAGGGTTTTGAAAATTCAGCTGTATAAATCTTCGGTTATGATGGTTTTGTATTCGGTTTTCGGTTTTGATCAAAATCTTTCCCGGTTTTTTCGGTTTTGGGTAATTTTTAGAGCGGTTTTTCGGTTTTTTATAGACCAAAACGTCCCCCTCACTATTGTTCTCGTAGACATAAGTCATTAGTTATTGGGTATTGAAGCCAAGTAGGATGCACGTAACTTCGTCTGTGTACATTGATTTATTATTGTAAAACACACTGATAATAACGGTCAGTATAACTTCAAAATCTATACAAACATGTCGCGAATTTTTAAGCGAAAGAAAGACGTGAGCAAACCATGTCAAGTTTGTTGTGGAGATGTTGTACTGCACACATTTTTGTAGAAAATATTTGTCCTTTATTAAACAACGCATTGCGTTGATGAAAGTTTCAGCGTAAATTGATTGTTTCCCATCATGTGACAAGGCTGCATTGCTGGAGGACAAAACAGTTTTTTTTTTCGCAAAATCTGCATGAAAAAGGGTTTAAGTATCCTGTGAAGGAAACCAGTTTTTCTCGTCCACCAGCAATGACCGAGTGACATCAGCTGAAAAATAGCATTATTAAAAAATAGCAATTTGACTGACATGTTTTGGCAGAAATTTGTGCCTTCTTCACTATAAATTTGGAATGAATTACAATAGGTGGAATACAATTGTCTAGGAAACCGATTGTAATTGCCCTCACGAAGATATTCCCCCGAGGCAAAATGGAGGCTTTCTCGTAGTCCGCACGTATATAGAGAAGAACGAAAAGAAGTAGCCACAGTTGCGGGGTAAAGTTGGCATATTAGACCAAATCTCGAGTTGACCTCTTTACCTTAATTGTATGTTTTGTTTTCCCAATGCAGGTCATGTGATAATAGCGGAGCTCTTGCGCGCGCGAAACGGAGCTCTATGGGTAAAAAAATATGGTAATTTATGCTTCTGAGAAATTTTGGTTCTGAGAAAATCGAGCGTACGTCCACCCGTTCATGTTAGCAGATGCGAAATGCCACGCTTTAATACTATCTGTGTAAAACTTGGTATTGGACATCCATGTTGTGATCAATTGACAGCTGTCAAAAAAGGGTATCCGCTGACCATTCTCACATGACTGCATCGTGGGCTCAGGTATACAACTCATGGAAGTGAGGAAACTTTTCAAAGTTATCCACTGACCAGTTGTTCGTTTTAATTGATCGCCGGCGCAGGTCGATTTTTTTGAAGGTAGAATTCAGTTTGCTCTCTACTTACGGCCAAAGTATAATTCATTGAAGAAGACAGTTCCTAAAGCATCCTTCTAGAGCTTCGCTTTCAGCCTTGGCTAAATCTATAAATTACAAACTTAAAGCAAGGGGCACACATACACCAAACCATGTCACGGCCTAGCCCAGTACCTCACGCATGCGTACAGCCATATAACCCGGGCAGTGGCAGCCATGGACAGCTGTTTTACCCTTCCTGGGGCTCATCAGCATGGTATAGCCGTCGGGTCAATAAACGGGGGAGAATATGCCATGCTGATGAGCCTCAATAAAGGCGAAACAGCTGTCCATGGCTACCACTACCCGGGTGATATGGCTGTACGCATGCGTGAGGTACTGGCCAGGCCATGGGTTGGTGTATGTGTGCCCCTTGCGTTAAGTTTGTCATGTGATAATACCCTAAAAAACTCTTTCTTTCAATTTTTGTTTTATTCGCATGCATATTTACGAATAATTAGTCGAGCTTGCTTTAGTAGAGCGAGAGTCTAAAAATGCAAGCGTTTTTTTGTGTGTGTCCGTCGCAAATGGGGGACCATGCTCCTAGGCGTTCCTAGAAGAGACCGTGGAAGCTGGGGATGAGAATCGTGACAACTTTCATTGCATGCAAATGAGTCTGGTGATGAGAATGCTGTTTAATTTTGGCGATGACTGAAATAACGCGCAATGTTTATCAAGTTTTGGTTCTTTGGCAAAGTTTTCTTCCGTGCAAGAAATCACGCTTTATTTTTTTTCGATAGAACAGGCTACCTTTCATGCTTATATGACGTAGCAAGGCGATAAAACCGCAAGTGCAAAATATCTCTAGAGAGCTATTTCTAAATTTGATCTTATGGTAATTTGGTTATGACCTTCACGTGACAATAAGGACAGTTTTGTAAACACGTCTATGGGGTCATGGTAGCACAGAATCTGGGGATGAGAATCGGCACGATGCTCTCATCATCTGCAAGTTTCGAAAACAACGTACAATTTTCATAATGCTGTTTTGAGAAGAAAAATGTGAAAGTATAAAGCATTATACGTAATGTCGCTCATAAATCCACACACCATTCGTGGTAGACCCACAATAAAAGTTGTCGAACGTTTTCGCTATGGGTCGTTCCACGAATTCTGTCGTTTGAAAGCGTTGATAACTTTAAAAGAAGTGATTACATGAGAAAAATACTCGACCGTCGTTAAAGTAAGATGAGAAAATATTATAGCGGGAAATCCTGTTTTGTGGTGAATTGTGGCGTTACGTTTCTCAGAATATTGTCGCAATTGCTGAAACTACGGTTAAATAGATTCACTTTGTTGTATGCATTTAATTGCTAGATTTTCGCAATTGTTAAGATGTGAAGTCGCATTGCTTAATAAATACTTGAGATATCAACTACTACTGCATGTGTTTATACGGGTGCCTTTGTACTTGACTGTCACGTACTTTACTTGCAGCACTTCATGTCCATAGAATGGAAATCCCATGTCGAGCTTTTCCGGAATGGCTCGTTCCACGAATTCTATCACTTGAAAGCGTTGATTAATTTGGAACAAGTTATTACTTCAGTGGTCGAAAAAGAGAACAATCTTTATGAGCAAAACGTCGATGGTGAGGCTAACTGGTAGGGTGTAGTAAACTTTCTTTGCATGCAAATGAGTCTTGAGATGAGCATACGGTTTATTTTCAGTCACAAGAGCCATAATTTTTTTTATGGCTCTTGTCGGGGATGATTGAAATATCACAAATCGTCGAATACGGTATAAAAAGTAAATATCCTGATGAATACTCGACCGTCGATAAAGTAGGAATTGAAAACTTTTAGCAAGGAAATCATGTTTCATGTATAGTTAATCGCCTCCCATGCCACCTAGACCGCGAGCAGCCTTATTTTTCTTTTGAGTCACAGTAGGTCGAGAACTTAATTTGACTGTAATTTTTCCCTCGCCACGCTTGCCTCTGAGGAGAGAAGGACGACAGCTCGCGTTCTAATCGCCTCCTCATTTCTTATCTTATCTCCAAGCAAGCGAGAATCAAAGCTACTAAGAGCGTTCTTGTTTATGAAAAGACAAAGGGGCAAATTCCCTTGAGACCTTCATTGGGAAAACATACAAGCTAAAGAGGTCTTTTGCCTGAACATGGCCTCACGGAATCGATGGGTAATGCTGGCTTGTAGCATTATTAAATACAGGAATGCAATAAAAACAATGTCACTATTTGAAGGGATATCGGTTATTCAAATATTTAACAAAGGTAAAATCACTAAACTTATTCTCTTTTGTTACGAAACCATGAGTTGTCGTCTTCAGGTCGTCGCATCCAAAACACCGATTTTTCTTACCTCGGCTTATCACCCCATGAAAGGATTCCGATTTTTTGTCAGTGGAACTTGAATTCCCGATTCCAATCCTTTGTGGGATTCCGGATTCCTTGAGCTGTATTCCGGATTCCACAAGCTAAAATTCCCGGATTCTGGAATTCCTTTACATGGTGCTAGACATAGCGTATAAATCCAGAAAAAAAATTTTCAAAATTTTGCCAAGGGAACTTGATTCCAAACGTATGTCCTCCAATAAGTAGCCCTCACATTATTTAACAAAAGGTAGAATAATGAATAGGAAGTACGTTAAGCTTTACTTTAGTGGCCTCATTACAGAAGGTTTTAATTTATTAACTTATTAACTTCAAATCTGCATGGCATGTCACTGTACGGTTAACAAAGGCGGATTTAAGGAAGGTGGGGTTGGTGGTTCAGATGCTATCACTGACGAGTTTAGTCTTTCCTGGGTGCTGATTACACCATTAATAAGATACTCGACGGGTAAACATGTTAAACAAGAACGCTCTTACTGCGTCCTTCAGTCTAGATTGGCTGGAGATTAGATTGGAAATAAGGAGCCGATTAATTCTACAAGAAACAGGATTTACTCGCTAATGATTTTTTACTTCCTATGTTATCGTCGTCGATACTTTTTATTTGTTTCTGAATTAATTTAGTACGCATGTTAGCGACGACCAGAAATTCGTCTGCGGTCGTAGACCATACGCGTGGATAAATACACGAAAATTCAAGGGCCTCGATTCCAGAGAAAATAAACCGAAAATAAACCGCATGCTCATCACAAAACCCATTTGCATGCAATGAAAGTTTACAACACCCGACCATCGCAGTTTTTCTAATTAAGATTCTTGGTTTTTTTTTCGACCACTCAGCAGTGTTAGCCTGTTGAGGCGATAGAATTCGTGGACCGACACGTTTCGGAAAAGTTCTAAATTTATTCTTTCCTAAACTTTCTTTGCAAAACATGTGTGGCTTTGATCACGCAACGATTCTTATTCCCAGTTTCCACGGTCTCCTCTAGGAACGCCTGGCACAATGACTCCTCTTTTTGTGTCCTAAATACGAAGTAAAACACGTTGCAGATTACAGTTTTTCTGCCTACGCAAGCGAGGCTAATTAAGAAAATGTAGAAAAAGATGATATCAACGGAAAATTCCCTGTTTAAACACAAGATGTGAACTTAATTTTCCGTATCTTTTTAATGTTTTGGCAAAGAAAAATGTGGAAGGACAGTCAATTTTGATTTTTCTCTGCGGCAAAATGTAAGTTGACATTTTCTTTCTGCTCTTGTTTTTTATGCTAGCTGAGGAAGCACGAGATGAGCGAACCAACTACTTCCACGGAGCCAACAGATGTAGAGGAAGACGAGCAGCAGAACGATGAACAAGACGTCGATACTTCCATAAAGATAGCAATGATTTGTCTTTACGTCATCATCCTCATGCTCTCATTGGTTGGTAACTCTCTTATCATCCATCTTGTGCGCACGCGCAAGAATATCCGAAAAAACCAGTTTTACTGGCTTATCTTCAACACAGCTCTTGCTGACCTCATAGATGTCTTAACGGCTTGTGCCTTTTCGATGCCATACTTCATGTTGGGAGACCGATGGGGGCTAGGAGGATTTGGAACTGCTATGTGCAAGATAATTCCATTTTTGTTGGTTGTGTCCATTTGTGCTGCCATCTGGACGCTTACAGTCATTGCTGTCGACCGATACCTGGTGATAGTATGTCTCCGAAGAAGAGCGCTGTCATCCCGATCAGTGCTGCGTTCCATTATCATTGTTTGGCTGTGTGCTATAGTGGTTGGTAGTGGACAGCTCTACAAATACAGAACCGTAGAACAAGATGGAATACAATACTGTGTTGACGAGTGGGACGAGGATTCGGTGGAGACTTCTATGCTTCTTTACAAAACGGAAATGGTCGTGAGAGTCATCATCACCTATGCAGTTCCACTTGTCGTCATGGCAATCTTGTATTTCCTGATCGCCAGATTCCTTTGGAAGCGCAAGCCACCGGTGAGTGTCAATCAACAAGCTTACATCAACCAAGTGAGGAAACGTAAGACGGTGATCAAAATGTTGATAACAGTTGTCACCGTGTTTGCACTTTGTTGGCTTCCTGTTCATGTCGGTCATGTGATGTCTGAGTTTTACACGGGTGCTTACTACAATACTCCAAGTGTGGTCAGATGGCTGTTCTTTTGGTTTGCTCACGCTAATGCTGCAATTCATCCCTGGTTGTTCATTGCTTTTAGTGAGCACTTAAGAGAGGGGACGAAGGAAATACTTCGAAAAATCTACAATACCGAACAACTACGATTGCGTTCCGGTTCCACGCCAAGCATAATTACCAATGAAGATCCTATGTCCAGGCCTATTACTCCAAAACGAAACTCACGCACTACCACTACAGAAGATACTCTTTAAGCCATTGTTGTATGAACTTTATAAAGCATCCATGCAGATCTTGGAGGGCCTCTACTCCAAGTAGGTTCCCTTTTAACAGGAACTGTAAGTACTCGTAACCATCAAAAACAGTTGTAGAAAAACGGTTCTGGTTTAGTGCTGCCAATCAATTTGGTTTAAGTTACAATTTTAAGAGACTGGTGGACGTTTTGAAATAACAAATGCTGCTCTCCTTGTGCGTTGTCATAAACCCATTTTTGACGGGGTTGTGTCATCAAATCAATGAAGCCAGATTCGCCGGTGGGACTGGGCACCAAATGGAGCACAAAATAAGAGAAGAAACACTTAGGGTGTGTTCCTTTCGGTGAATCCAAAAACGGATTTTAGATCTAAAAACGGATTTCGCGTTCCTTTCGGCAAATCCAAATCCGGATTTCTGATCTGGTGAATCCTTTTTCAAAAAGGATTCACTGGATTTGAAATCCGAAGAATCCGAATCCAGATTAACGGATTAGTGATCTACGCTGTTCCATTCACAGTGGATCCGAAATTAGTCAGATGATCCAGCGGTATTTCCAGTTGAAGTATTCCCATAGAGGCCGTAGAGTTTCCTCGTTGCTGTCATTTGCCGCAAAACATTTGAAAACATTAGAAGATTGTTCCTGGTACATTAAAATATCCATATACTAACCATTTGTCTCTAAAGATTGCATGAAATCAGAAATAAGTAAAAGTAACAAATGAACTGCTATCTCACTACAAACTCGCTTGTAGACGCGACAGGCATTCGATCGTGCTACATAAAAAAAATCTGAGCTGTGGAACTGGAGCAAACTGGCCGACATTTTTAGATAATTTTCGATTTTAATGCGCTTCTTTCTTTGTCTGTTTTATATGTTCCATCGTGGCTATTCGAACTGCCGACCACTAAATTCTGCACGGTATAATCGCATAATTTGTCAAACAGTAGAAAACACGTCATTTTTTGAGAGGCTGTCGTGCATATTGCACGCGTTGGTGAAAGGTTACCAAGGTTACAAATCCAATTTCGGATTTCACGTTCCTTTCGACCGAGAAATCTGGCAAATCTAGGATCAAAAATCCGTTTTTGGATTCGCCGAAAGGAACACACCCTTAAAACGCTAGTTAAGGAAGATTAAAAATGACACTGTAAATAATTAAAAAATAGATTTCAAGTGGAAGATTCGAAAACCATTCAGCCCAACAGTTTTTCAAAGTTCATCTTTGTTGATTTTAAATTCAAATATGCACTCTCTTTGGACATAATAGTCATCCAAGAAGCTGCAATTTTGTCGTTGTGAAATAATTTCTTCGTTTAAGGTGAGCACTGTAGCGAATAAGCGCGGGTTATTTGCAAAAACGAATTACAAGATTAAGTAAATTGTTTGTAAAAGTTGAGTTCTGAAGCGAATAAACGTGAGTTATTTAACTTTTGCAAAAATGAATTACAAGACTGTCGGAAAGCCGCTTAGTCAAGTAAACTATTCTGAAAAAAAAAAGACAAAAAAAAAGAAAGGGATCAGTGCTACACATGTACATTATTTGCCGAGCTATGAAAACTTAAAGGTGTAAGAGATTGAAAATCGCTATTAATATGCATTTGACACCTCCAACTGAGTTTAGTAGGTCGCAAGAGACATATCTTAAAAATTTTGATTTGGCGTTCAAGTGCGTTATTCAGCATTGATTCTTACAGAAGCATATCGGCAGGTAACAATACCGGGATAGAACAACAGGAGGACCGGAATTAAGGTCTGTCGAGCAATAAACGATGAGAAACATATTTTAAAAGTACAAGTAGAAGCTTTTGAATGAAATTACCCTTATGCAAAGTTCTTGTAATGTATTAGCTAGCTTTAAGACTTAATGCATTATAAATTAAGTGACAAATGAAAGATTGAAAAGTTTGAAGATTTTTTTACATAACGATTCTTACTGGAATGTAATAACCTTGTACCTGGAATAACTTTGTGCTATAACAAAAGCTTAATAAATAAACTGGCCATTGTGGGAGTTCTTTGTTTTCCTTTTAACCCAAACTTGCAACAAACAGGAAACAAAGTTTGAAACTGGAGGCTCCGCCAGGCCCAGAAAGTATTTTACAGTGTTTTCAGTTGCCTATCATATCGTATATTACGGCACTGTATGAAGCGGACACCCTCTATTAAGCGGCCAATTTTGTAAGTCCCGGTTTTGCGCTCGTACAAACGTTGTATTTGTTAACTGTATTAGGCGGCCACCTCTATTACGCGGCTGTGGCCACCCTGTAGCAGCCCTATGATTGTGTTTCTTAATTCAGTATTTTTACCTGTATTAAGCAGCCAGCCTTGAACGGAATCTAAGCTATATGTCATTTTATACGGTATTTCATTGTGTTTAAAATGCGATCCATCGTCACTATGAAGAAATAACATGTACAAAGCTACTGTAAGCTGATAATCTGCCGTTTAGTATGCATGGTTAATGCTTTTCAGATGTCACCAGATTTATTGCACAGTAC